ACCTTCTAGGTTAATTCTTTTTGATCTAACCTTTTCTCTAGTACCTGTTCCCCTTTTCCTATTGGCCTCAGTTGCTTTAAGGTATCTGCTTTAGTTTCTCTGCGTTAAGGGCAACAAATGCTAGCTAGTTTTTTAGGTGTCTTACCTATCCTCACCCCTCCCTTGTGTGCTCTCGCTTTTATCATGTGCTCATAGTCCAATCCCCTTGCTGTGTTTGCCCTTGATCTAATGTCCACATATGAGGGAGAACACACGATTTTTGAGCCAGGCTAACTCACTCAGAATGATGTTCTCCAATTCCATCCATTTACCAGCGAATGATAACATTTCGTTCTTCTTCATGGCTGCATAGAATTCCATTGTGTATAGATACCACATTTTCTTGATCCATTCGTCAGTGCTGGGGCATCTTGGCTGTTTCCATAACTTGGCTATTGTGAATAGTGCCGCAATAAACATGGGTATGCAGGTGCCTCTGGAGTAACAGTCTTTTGGGTATATCCCAAGAGTGGTATTGCTGGATCAAATGGTAGATCGATGTCCAGCTTTTTAAGTAGCCTCCAAATTTTTTTCCAGAGTGGTTGTACTAGTCTACATTCCCACCAACAGTGTAAGAGGGTTCCTTTTTCCGCCCCCCACATCCTCGCCAACACCTGTTGTTGGTGGTGTTGCTGATGATGGCTATTCTAACAGGGGTGAGGTGGAATCTTAGCGTGGTTTTAATTTGCATTTCCTTTATTGCTAGAGATGGTGAGCATTTTTTCATGTGTTTTCTGGCCATTTGAATTTCTTCTTTTGAGAAAGTTCTGTTTAGTTCACGTGCCCATTTCTTTATTGGTTCATTAGTTTTGGGAGAATTTAGTTTTTTAAGTTCCCTGTATATTCTGGTTATCAGTCCTTTGTCTGATGTATAGTTGGCAAATATTTTCTCCCACTCTGTGGGTGTTCTCTTCAGTTTAGAGACCATTTCTTTTGATGAACAGAAGCTTTTTAGTTTTATGAGGTCCCATTTACTATGCTATCTCTTAGTTGCTGTGCTGCTGGGGTTTCATTGAGAAAGTCCTTGTTTGTTTTTCCAAAGAAATTAGCAGTAAAATACTTGAAATGGTAAGGGTCTCTGTGTTTGTTTGTTTATTTATTTATTTATTTATTGGTGGGCCTGGGGTTTGAACTCTGGGCTTTGTGCTTGCAAAGCAGACACTCTACCACTTGAGCCACACCTCCAGTCCTCTGTGTTTATTTTTGAGCCCCTGACTAATGTTTGGGATGTATATCTCAGAGTAGAAAACAGTTTCTCCTTGAATCATTTGGTACTCTTTCTTTTGGTATTAGGATCAAATCCAGGGCCTGGAACATGCAAGGTAAGTGCTCTACCATTGAGCCACACCCCAGTGCCTAGCGCTTTCATCACAGCACTTTACCATGCTTCTTTAGAAATGATGGCTTATAGTTGGGCATGGTGGTACATGTCTGTAATCCCAGCCACTCTGGAGGTGAAAGCAGGAGGATCACAAGTTCCAAGCAAGCCTGGGCAAAGTCAGCAAGACCCTGTCCCTAAAACAAAATACAAACAAAAGGACTAGGACAGAACACCTGCCTAGTGAGTGCTTGCCTAGCAAGTGCAAGGCCTTGAGTTCAAATCCCAATACTACTAAACACAACCAAAACAAAAAGAAATGGTGACTCATGGCTGCTTCACCCAGTGGTGAAGCTCTGCGTATTCACAGTGCTTTCAACATTGGCAATCTCCACAGCTCTCAAAAGGCTCAAGCAGCAGAGCGCCTGCCTTAGCAAGCACAAGGTCCTGAGTTCAACCCCAGCACTGCAAAAAAAGTTTTCTGATTCCTTCAAGAATGGTCGAGCCATGTGGAGGTCCACAGCGCTGGAGAATTCAGATTCATCTCTCAGCACCATTTTCAGAGGTAACTCAAAGCACAGCTCTTACTTTTCCACAGCAGCCATCTTCTGGTATGGCTTTTGAAATAACATCCTTTCAGTCTCAGCAGCAAAGCAAGGCTATGTAACACACACTGTGGCCTATTGTCCTAACTCGTTCCCGTTTCTTCATTCTTTTATGGAATAAAAGCATTATGTATTAAGTGTCTGGACTCTGCTTCAAGATAATACTAGGAAAAACAAACAAACAAACAAACAAGGGGTACTATAGTTGGGATCTTTGAAGTCACTGAAGGCTTGGTCTGTAAGGGGCTGCTATTGGGAGGCTGAGTGATCTTTGGGCCTTGTGGGAAAGGTCTTTAGGTCACTATGGGCACCCCCCCCAACCTACAGGGGGAACTGTGGGACTTCAGCCTTTACTCTTGTTGCTTTCTGGCTATGAGGTGAGCAAGTTAGCTCAGCCACACAGGTCTGCCACAATCTACTGCCTCACCACAGTTAAAAAGCCATGAGATCAACCAATGATGGACTAGAACCTTGAAAACTGTGAGCCAAAATAACCTTTTTTCCCTATAAATTGATAATCTAAGGGATTTTGTCATAGTAACAGAAAGTTAACTGACACATGGGGGAGAGTTTTAAAAATAGATTTAATCTTTTTAAAAAATTTTATTAGCATATAATAGTTGTACGGGGGGATATATATTTACATATGTGCTTATAATATATCTTAGATTTAAAAAACAGGTTTAATCTCAAATACATATTTATTCTAGATAAGTATGAGAGGTTATCGTGTAACTACATACAGCTTTGCAAGACTAGAAGTCACAATGTTTTCTGACCAGGTTAAAGTTGGAAATAACTGTACTATAAGATGATGTACAAAGGTGATGGTGGGGCCAGTGCCAGTGCCTCACATATATAATCTTAGCTACTCAGGAAGCAGAGATCAGGAGGATCATAGTTCAAAGTCAACCCTGGGCAAATAGTTCTTGAGAAACTATCCTGAAAAAACCCATCACAAGAAAGGGCTGGTGGAGTGGCTCAAGGTGTTGGCCCTGAGTTCAAATCCCAGTACTGCAAAAAAAAATTGATGGTGGTTTCTGTGAGAAGTCATGCACTGTGGGTGTGCTGATGTGTGTACATGGAAATCAAGTGTGATCATAATATCAAGATTACACAAAGTCTGAATCTGGTTACAGATTTCTTCTGAAATCCTTTGTTTCTTTTTATTATTTCCATAGCACCCTAAAAACCCACAACTTGTACTGACAAGAGTACATGTAGGTAAAATAAACATAAAACATAAAAATTCTTTTCTACACAGTCAATGTCACTGATATCAGTGCAACTGAAGCTGGCCAGGAGTCAATAGCTAGCTGGATGAGACAGTTTTGGAAACAAAAATTTCTGGGTCTCAGGTGATTCTGACCCAGTGAGTCTACAGCCTATGAATCTCCGTCTGCAGAATCCAATCCCCACCACCACCCCCTGACAGCCCTCCTTTCCCACCCTGCTACCCAGTTACACTTGTGCTGGCAGGAGGGGAGGCTCTGGTTAATCAAAGCTCCCATCCTCTAAATATCATTAGGAACAAAGTATCTTAGTAGCGTAATACACAAGGTGTGCATTTAACAGCTAATCCCAAGAAAGGATGCTTGCAGTTTACATTTGATTGATTTTATTTCTTGATTGACAGGATCTTTTTTTTTTTTTTACAATAAAAATCTTTATTTAGGTTTGGTCAGTACAGGTAAGGTATACTGGAGTCACAGAGCAATATGCACTAACAGGATACAACAGTTCATAAAAACTGAGTAACTATGCACACAAATTCTTAAACATTCAGTCATCTAAAGATAAATGCACAGATGTATGGTGGAAAAAACTGTATCTAACATTGAAACTACTATAGGACTCCATCAACAAGTCCAACTTTTAGTGATAAAAACTACTGTACTGGGCAAACCTGGCAGTCATAAACCCACAGCTACGCTAACAAGTCTGAATGGTGTGTTATGTATATAACAGCATGGATAAGAATGCCCTCACACAGCACAGGTTCTAGATAGACACAGCGCCCAGGCTGAACTCAAACTTGTGATCATTCTGCCTCAGACTCCTGAGTGCTGGGATTATGGATATGCTTAGCTTTTATTGTTACTGCTAGTATTACACCCGGTCTCATTATGCTGCCCAGGCTGATCCTGGATCGAAGTGATCCTCCTGCCTCGCCTCTTGAGTAGCTGGGACTTCCGATGGCAGTCACCGTACCCAGCGTAATGCTTACGGTTTAAAGGACATTTTTTCCGGGAGAAACTCTAGATTACAGACAAGAAATGAGTCTTGCAATTCTGTATGTATGCAATTCTGTCTCGCGATAGTCTGTTCCTAAGTCGGCACAACGAAACCTATTGACCCCTCACTTCCTCACACATGCCAGGCTCATGTGTGCCCTAACCTGCAGTGTAGTCTATGTTGGGTGCAAAGATGCTCTTCCCCCAGGTCGGGTAGGAATTCCAAATAATTTGTGGCAAACTTACTTGATAAAATATAAGTAAAATAAATATAAGTAAAATAAGTAGCCTGTAACCCTAGCTACTTGGGAGGCAGAGATTTGGAGGATCGCAATTCGAAGCCAGACCCGGCAAATAGTTTGCTTTCCCGCGGCCTTGGAGCCAAAATTGGTTTAGCACCGCAAGAGCGAACATCCAACCAGAAACGAGCAGGGATCCGTTGCTATGGCAACACTTTGGCCCGCCTCTGCGTTTACTCCAATAGCATCCTGGGAATTGTACGTGAGCGCTCACAATAGGGGGCGTGGCCGTCCGTAGAGAGAACTACGTTTACCGTTCCTACCTCCGCCGCCACTCTATCACTTCCTGCCTCCGAGTCTCAGAGCCTAAAGTAAGCGCCTCTGCCATGGACTCTCCTTTCCACGCCCGCCGGAGTTACAGCTGAAGGCACAACAGGAGAAGCAATGCAGTGTGGAAGGCGGAGACGCGAGCGGCGTTCATGGAGCCGGAAGGGGCGGGGATCCCTCCTGCGGCACAGAGGCCCCGCCTCCTCCCGTCACTTCCGTAAACAAAGGGTGCTGCGGAGGTGCGGGTCCGGAGATGTGACCCGGCCTCTCGCTGAAGCTGCGGCGTTGGCTGCGGAGGCTCTGCTGTCTTTGCAGATTGAGGAAAGGGGTCCCGACCCCCTTCTACCCCGGGTACGTAGCGGAAGCGGAGGGTCCCCCGCAACCCCTTATTTTAGCCCCCTGCCCCTATCCACTGGGGTCACTGCTGGGTACGGGGCGGCAAAGGGGCATCGCTTGGGGAGATTGGGGATCTGAAGTGAAGAGGGACCCCTAGTGGTCCTACCTGACCTTCAAAATTGGTGAGTAAGTCCATGAACACGTAACACCTCCTCTAAAACGTTTCCTGCTGCTTGGTGTACGAGAAAGATTGGGTGGCCTTGTGACAGATACTTCCTTACAAAACTGAAGAGATCACCTTCCAAAAACGAAGAGATCTCAAGCTCTATTCCCCACACACACACTATAGACCACTGTTGGTTTATTTGCATTGCTTTACTTCTTACTTTTTTTTTCTTGTACCCTTATCACCAATTGTGTATTAGCATATTTAAATTTCGAAGGCCAGTGTTTTTATGTGTATCATAAATTTATAAAGATCCTGCCCCTCTGGAGAAATGACACCCCGTCGCCTCTATTCAGTCGTCTTTTAAAGTTCCCTTTAAGGGGGTTTTGTTATTGAAAATGTTTTTTTTTTATATATAAAGGTTTCACATATTTATTACTGGGTAATCAAAGAAAAGGCAGATTCTCAGTTTAAAATGCTCAACTGCGTGTTGACACTTTTAGCTTCATGCCAAGATGACTCTGAGCACACGATAGAGCAATTATGTGTGTCATCTTGCACAATTCCTTACTGTCCCAACTTGTTTTTCCTCTAGTGTCTCTTCTTACACTTCTACCTGATTTCATCGGAATCCACTGGGAACGGGATGATTTTGCATTTGTTTCTTGGCCAGGACTCTGAAAGTCTTTGAGAAGACATGGTGAGAAATAGGGCCAATCGCATGTACCACAGTGGCAGACAAAAGCAGAAGTTAAAAAATGCTTCTTAAAGGAAAAAATGTTAGCTAAGTTATAGGTGAATTTACAATTGGTATCTGGGATTAGAGATTGGACATTGGAGCCTTTTCCAGGCCACCCGCTCTTTTTTTTTGAGATACCATAAGTTCAGTTGTGACTGAGCCAGCCAGCTCAGCTCAGTGGTTTAAATTTCAGTGCCTGTAGTACTGAGTCTATACAATAGCAAAAAAATCTATCTTCAGTTAAATTCTCAATTATTTTAAGAGTGACAGCAATGGGATTGAATCTTTTTGAATAGTCAGCATGATTAAATCTATCACAGTATTTTTAAAAAGGCTTAATGTTCCTAAGGCAATTTACAGTCTTATGAGGTGATTAGACATATAAGTATCTTACGTTATGGTACACAAAGCAGTGGAATTAAGAAAAAATTTAGAGCAGGTTATGGTGGTTCAGGCCTAAAATCCCAGTGCTTTGAAGCTAAGGCAGGAGGATCTCAAATTTGAAGCTAGCATGGGCTACATAGTAAGACCATATTCCAAAAGAAAAAAAAAGGGAAAAAAAATTTAACAACCATGACCAAATAAAAAACAAAATGTAGAGAATGTATTTTAAACAGAAAAGTGTTAAGAAAATAAAACTGGTTAATAATGTGAAGTAGGGGGAAGTATTGGGATGAATAGGAGGCCTTACACATATTCCCATTGAAATGGCCATTTATAACTTCATTTCATAGTGCTTTTTTTTTTTTTTTGAGATGGGGTTCTTGCTGTGTTACCCAGGCTGGCAACTTGCTGTGTAGTCTAGGCTGACCTCAAACTCAAGATCCTCCTGCCTCAGCCTCCCAGTGCTGGGACTACAGGTGTGTACCATCCCATCTGGATAACCTCTGACATTTTTCATCCTCTTTAGCCTGTGACATGGGTCTTCAAGTCACTTTCATTTTTGCATATTATATCATACACATGTATTTTCATGTTTCCTTGTTCAGGTCTTAAGAAGCTGGCCTTGGTGCAACAAAGAACTTAAAACAATGGAAGAGCGGAAAGTGAAGAGGAGGAGTCCTAAGTCTTTTAGTGCCCACTCTACTCAGGTTGTTAATGCCAAAAAAAATGCCATTCCAGTTAGCAAAAGCACAGGGTTTTCAAATCCTGCATCACAGTCAACTTCCCAGCGACCAAAGTTAAAAAGGTGCATTCTTTTCTTTCACATTGTCACAGTAAAATGCTAGTCAATGCCAAATCAATTTCTTACAACCTTTTTTCTCTTGGAATGACTTAAAGCAATACTTATAAGGGTTCTTTTGAATAAATTATCAGAAGGAAAGGGGTTTTCCTCCTTGGAGGAATTTAATGCAGTCAGATTTTGAATAAGGTTAGTAGAATATATGTTTGAATATAGTCGGTAAAAGAAAGTCAAGCCAGGAGTGGTGGAGCACACCTATAATCCCAACTGCTGGAGAGGCTGAGGCAGAATGATAAAGAGTTCCAGGCCATCTTTGCCTACATAATGATACCCTGTCTAAAATATAGACAAATACAGAAATAAAGCCAAGAGATTTTAAAGGGAATCACTCCTTTCTCTAAAATCTTTTGTTGTTTTTTTGTGTTTTTGGAGACAGGGTTTCTCACCATCCTTCTGTCTCAGATTCCTGAGTGCTGGGATTTCAGGGTTGTGCCACCAGCTTTCTTTCTGTAAATTCTCAGTAGCTGTTTATTTGTATCATTTTACCTTGCAATTTAATTTCTTTGCCTTCTAGAATGTAGGCTTCCCAAGAGCTATGATTATATTGATCACTGATGTGTGCTTAACAGAACTCCTAGGAGGTTTGCACACATTGTAATTTATTGCATTTTTAAAATTATTACTGAATTGATTTAATAGAAAGTAAAGCAATATGATATAATCAAAAACATTAAGGTAAGTATAAACAGGGTTTTGGTTGATCTTTTCTGCTTGTTTTCTTTTTCGAGAGGGTTGTTAAATGCTGAAGTGATGTGAAATCTGTACTGAAGGTAAAACTTCCACCAGCAACACTGAAACCTACACTGTGTAGTGGTTTATGTCAGATTTAACGTGTCTGTGGATCTCTCTAGAATCCTTTTAAAATGCAGATTCTGAAATCAGTGAGTCTCGGATGGGACATCAGATGAGCATTTCTAGTAAGCTCACGGGCGAGGTTGACGTTACAGGTCCTGGACAGCACTTAGAGTAATGAGGATGATGTGATTTGACACCTCGTGCAGAAAATGCAGACCTAACTTTGTGAAGAACTGTCTCTGACCTACTGTCAACAGCCTGTGACTTGTAAACTTCTTTCCTAGTAGTTACTAGTTTCTTTCTTGTGCCCTGCCCTTCCTTCCCTGGCTGTCTATGTATCTATCTCTCTCTTTTTATAGCTATACATACAGATTTGCATATGTCCTATTTATCTTCTCCTTATTGTGGTGAGTACAGTTATGGGGAAGATGCTTGCGCTCAGCATTATGTACAAATTGAGTACTGAATATGTGTACATGTCCGAATCTGTAGTATGCATTGGGTTACAAAGATAGCATGGCTTCTTCTCCCTTTTTGCCTCTTAGCCTAGTTACCCTTCACTCGTGTAGCACCTTTAGTAGTTCCTGCAGCTGGTCCTGGGCTGCATGAACTGCTCTTTCTCTCTGGTCCTGTGTAGCAGTGTGTACTGCACCCCCACTCAAGGTACTGAAAGCCTGGTAGATACCAGACATGCATTAAGAGCTAACTAGGGACTGGCAGAGTGGCTCAAGTGGTACACTTCCTGCCTAGCAAGCTTGAGGCCTTGAGTTCAAACCCCAGTACTGCCAAAAACAAATAAAACACCTAATTAGTCTAGGAATTCCAAAAAGGCCTTCCTAGGGAAATCACATTTAAACTGGAACTTGAAGGATGTGTGCACCATAGCCTGGCAAAGATGGCAGGAAGTGGAAGAATTCAAATGTAAGCACAGGATTAACATGTAAGAAGATAGGATGGGCTTCTGGGAGGCTAAGGAGATTCAGAGGGAAAGAGGGTTTCTTAAGGATATGGGACTCTGTCCAGCAGGCAGCACAAAGCTACAGAAGGGATTAAATTATGTACATTATGGGATCTGACTTTACTCTTTGGGAAGAGGTGTGGCTGCATTGGAAGGAGGGAAAGAAGTGAGCAACCATACACAGGCAAGGCAGGTAGGGATGCTGTTGGAGCCGTTAGGTCAAGAGATAGGATGATGGTAGTGGCAAAGGAAAGAACCAGGGAGATTGGCTAATTTGTGAGCATAATCAATAGGACTTCATGACCACATGTGGGGTCTGATGAAGCTAGACGAGTCAAGGGGGCAACAGATTTCCAGCACTCCATCCTAAGGTGATTGTGAATTTAAGTCTTCTTAGACCAGGCACTCTGGCATAACGGCAGCTACAGAGTAGGGACCCTAAAATCACTTAAGCAGTTATTGGTAGTTCAAGGATAACATTTAGAAGGGAAATGTAGTATGTTTTACTGAGAAAGGAAATATGAAACAGGATAGTAAGAAGACAATTTCCTCATCAGTTTTTATAGCCCAACAAATTAGCATATTGTATAAATACATTGATCAAACTTTTTTTTTTCTTGGCAGTACTGGGGTTTGAACTAAGGGCCTTACACTTCCCAGGCAGGTGCTCTACCACTTAGCCATACTCCCAGCCCAATTAATCAAACTTTTTAAATGCTTTAGCAGTTACATTTTGTACATTTGTTTCAAGATTTTTCACACCTGTTCTTTTTTGTTTGTTTCTAATTTGAGGTGACTTATTTTACTTGGTATTGACTTTATCCTGCTTTCTTGTTTTTAAGAGAGACTCCATTTAATTCAGTAAGATGTTAGGCAGAAGTTTAATCTAGAAAACCTGAAGAGATCTAACGAAAGTTAAACCATCTCTGCAGAGTGGTGAAAGAAAAGAGCAAGCCTCAGGGAGGAGAAGGAAAGGGCACTCAGTCTACCCCGATCCAGCACTCGTTTCTCACCGATGTCTCGGACGTGCAGGAGATGGAGCGTGGCCTCCTCAGTCTCTTGAATGACTTCCACTCTGGAAAACTTCAAGCATTTGGTAAGTGCAAAATGTTTCTCTTTATTATGTTTTTCTTTAAGATTTTCCTATCCTATTTTCTGTGTGTGTATGTGTATGTGTACTGCGGTTTGAACTTCATGCTTGCTTGCAAAGCAGGCACTCTACCATTTGAGCCACACCTCCAGTCTGTTTTGCTCTGACTACTTTTGGAGATGGGGTCTCTTTGAACTTCAGTCCCCCAGAGCTCAGCCTCCCAAGTAGCTAGGGTTACAGGTGTGAGCCACCAGCATCAGGTATATTTTATTTTCTGACAAAAAAATAAATTACCTAGTAAGAAAGGATCTGATTGGGAATGGAATTTCCATTGCAACACTTAGCGATAGCTATCGGCCAAGTAATAAACATACTTGACTCTATTATGTCTTGCTTTTTTCCATTAGCCAATATTTGATTAAAATTCTGCCAGTCAGAATATAATATAATTCATTTTTAATGGCTATATAATATTCCAAGTTGTGAATATACTCTAGTTTCTTCAACCATTTTTTTATTGAAAGGCATTACTTTGTTTTCAGCCTTGAGATACTAACTACACTGGTGCAGTGAACAAACTGGAACATCTATCTTTATTCTGTGAGTGGTATTGCTGGAGCAAAGCTTAGATGTAGTTTTGTTTTTTGGTGGTACTGGAGATGGAACCTAGGACCTCACACTTGCTAGGCAGGTGCTCTTCCATTTGAGCCACTCTGCCAGAATATGTAATTTTAATAGAAGTATCCAGATTGCTTTCCAAAAAGAAAACACTGCATTTTTCATTTCTGTTAGTGGTTTATAAAAGGACCCTTATTCCTGAATTCTCACCAGCAGTAGATGTTATATGTTTTAATTTTTGCCAGTCTGTTGGTGTGGAGTGATTTGTTTTCTTTACTGTTGAGTTTGGATATCGTGTGCATTTGTTGAGCAGTTGGATGGCGCTTTTCAGACCTTTACGCAGGTTTGTTGGTTATTATTGCTTTGTTGCTGCTGTTAACTGCCAAGAGCCCTCTGTACGATTTAGATCCCACCCCTCCTACATCTCTTGCTTATTTATTTATTTTTACCAAAGTTATTGTGCCTGTTGACTTTGTTTATGGTATATTTAGTCTTGTAAAAGTTTTTAATTTTCATATATTCAAGTATTTCTACCTTTTTTTTCATGGTTTCTGGACTTTCAGGCTTAGTTGTACTAGTATTTGAAAAGAAGGCATTAAAAATAAGCACAATACCATGCCATGTGTGGTGGTACATGCCTGCAATCTCAGCACTTGGGAGATTGAGGCCTAAGGATATCAAGTTCAAGGCCAGTCTGGGCTACATAGATAGCAAGACCCTGCCTCAAAACAACAACAAAAGCACGTTCATTGTTTACTTCACAAAAATGTCTTTTTATACCCCTGTCTCTTGCTTACTCCTCGCCAGTAGTGTGACATCTTTAGAATACTTTCATTTTGCCCTCTCTCTTTTTTCTCTCCCCACCTTGGGAGGTAATCTTTGGACCACTTTTACTTCTTTACTTTCTCCCAACACCCCTGTTGTCCCTACTTTTAGGTGACTTTGTGTTTCTGTATTGAAGTCCTTTCTGTGTCCTTACTAGACTGATGGTCTTCTATAAGTGTTGCAATGAAAATTCCATTGCTCATGGATTCTTTCTTCCTAGGTAATTAACTTTGTTTTGTCTTAATGCTTAAAAGATTTTTTTCCCTTTATGTTTGAGGCATTTGCCAGGATATGCTTAGGACTGCTGCTTTTTTTCATCAATCCTGCCTGGGAGTCAGTGAGCCTTTCTTATCTGCTGACTCATCTTTCAGCCTGAGAAACATTTTTCTCCTCTATCAGTTCCTTTTTATCCTTCTGTAGCTTTTATGTTAGATTACCTAGATCTATCCTCCACCTCTCTTATCTTTTCCCTTGTCATTTCTATCTCTCTGTTTCTCTGTCTCTCTCTCTCTTACTCTCTCATTGTCCCTACACACACACACACACACACACACACACACACTTTGAGGTATTCCTTCCACTTGACCTTCCAGGTTACAAATGATTAAAATAGAAGAAATACAGCATATTTTACTATAAGTAAAGGATGCTGCTGAGAGAGCTGAATTAGTTTCAGTGTTAGTGGTCCTTAACATAATGTAGTAGAATTTATGAAGATGTTATAAAGCTGCCTACAAGAAAACTATCATATAATTTTCATGAATTCATATTGACTCAAGATAGGTACTTCAAGTTTAGCTGAGCTATATAATACCTTTGTAGTATCTTTAGGAAATACAGAAAGAGTTTGGTTTTTTTGGAAAAAAAATATAGTATCAAGAAGTTGCAGAGGTTATACTTAAGCTGAATAAAATGCATAGTGTCATATGTGTGTAAATCCGTTGCTTTGGGCAGATAATGGTACTGCACAGGATTCTAGTCAATAAATAACACAAGACCTATCCATTCGAATTTGTGTTGCTCTACTGTGTTTGTACAGTTGAAAATAATACCTTGTATTGCTCATGCTTCATAATGTGCTTCATAAATACTTGTATTTATTTCCTAAAGGAACAATACATAATTGGTTGGGAAAATAACTCAAACTCATGGTTGATGTTCTTATATACCTCTTTATTTCACTAAGACTATTATATTTCAAAATATTGGGTAGGTTTTTCAATTCAAATGGCAATTGTCAAATTGGATATAATTGGATGACATTATTGCTTTTTTTTTTTTTTTTTTTTGGCAGTACTGGAGTTTGAACTCAGGACCACACACTTCCTAGACACGTGCTCTACTACTTGAGCCACTCCACCAAGCCTGGCATTACTGCTTCTATATGATATTGCTATTGATGAAAAATAGATCTTCTGTACTTAAGGAATGATTTTGATTTTTCAAAAAAAAGTCTAGCTTGGGGGCATGGCAGGTAAGAGCACCTGCCAAACAGGTGTAAGGCTCTGAGTTCAAACCCCAGTATAGCAAAAAAAGAAAATAAAAAACCCCCAAAAAGTTCCTATATGATATTTTTTAGTGCCCAGGTTCATTTCTTAGGTTGATCATTATTTTCCTGGTCAAAAATCTTGAGTTTGAGGCCACCTGGGCTCCATAGGGAGTATCTATCAAAACAATTGATCTGGGACTGGGGACACAACTCAAGTGGTAGAGTTCCTGCCTGGCAAGTACCAGGTCCTGAGTTCAAAACCTAGTTCTGCCAAAAAAATGATTTGTAATTATACATAGAAATTGCAATCATTAGCAATCTAATATCCAAAAGGAAGAAAATAGGTTTCTTCTAGCACACCTAGAGTTTAAAAGCTGTTCATCACTGTTATTAATTTTAACATTCTTTATTAACATTCTGGAATGTTCTTCAGGAAATGAATGTTCCATAGAACAGATGGAACATGTTCGAGGAATGCAGGAAAAATTAGCTCGCTTGAATTTGGAGCTCTACGGGGAGCTAGAGGAACTTCCTGAGGATAAGAGGAAAACAGCCAGTGACTCTAATCTGGACAGGCTTCTGTCTGATGTGAGTAGTTATTTTTCTCTATTCTTTAAAAAACATTTTCATTGCAATGAAGCTTACATAACAAAATTCACCTCTTTAGCCATTTAAGTTATATAATTCAGTGGCTGTTAGTATATTCAGAATGTTGTAGACCTCATCCATATTGTCTTAATTTCAGAACATTTTCTTCACCCTAAAAGAAACCTGGGTTTCTCAGGTTCCCCTCTCCCATTCCCTAGCAACCACTAACCTGCTTTTTCCCTTTATGGATTTGCCTGTTGTGGACACTTCCTATGAACGAATTTATACAATATGTGTTCTCACTGGATTCTTTTACTTAGTGTGGTGTTTTCAAGTTTCATTCATATTGTACTTTACTGTTTCTTTTAAAGAAATATATTTCAAGGTAATTACCATACTTGACATCTAATTATATATTCTTAGAATATTGACAAATCTTAGGCTGAGTGAGGTGACTCATATCTGTAATCTCAGCCTTTCAGGAAGTCGAGATCAGGAAGATCTCTGAGACCAGTCCAGGCATGGTAATGCATGTTTGTAGTCCCAGGTACAAGCGAGGCTGTAATGGGGGATTGTAGTCCCACCAAACACTGGAGACCCTACTTGAAAAATAACTAAAGCAAAAAAGGGCTGGTGTCATGGGTTAAGTGCCTAGTGAGTTGGGAATCCATGAGTTCAAACCTGAGTACTACCAAAAAAAAAAAAAAAAAAGAAAAAGAAGACTGGTGATCTGGAAAAATATTTGCTTCTGTACTTATTTGTATGTACAGATTTTAAGGTACGGGAGACACTAGTCGAAAGTCTTTTCCTGATACATGTTTACCTGTTTTTAAATACAGAACTGTGCTTGGTCTTTATGGTAATTTAGTTCATTGCCACAGGTATTAGTTTGCTGTAGCTGCCATAATGAAGAAACACAGTCTAGGTTGCTTAAACAACAGAAAATTATTTCCTCTCTCTTTCCTAGGCCTCCATCCTTACTGTGTAGTGGCTGTCTTCATGTTCTCCTGGCATCCTTCCTCTAGTACATGCATGTCCAAGTTTCCTCTCCCTGTAAGGGTACCAATCCCATTGATTAGGGACCACCCAATGACCTCGGCACTTTAGAGTCCCTGTCTCCAAATACCCTCACACACTGAGATACTGTGTGTGGGGACTAATGCATGAATGGGGGACACAATTCAGTCCATAACACTTGTATAATTGCTAGACTGAGAAGTATTAATTAAATTAGCCTCTTTAAATGTTTTTTGGAACAAAAATAAATAAAAATGGAATTCTGTCTTTTAGTTTCTGAATTTACCAGTGATAAAGAGGGTTCATTTCCATTGCTTTTGCTTATCTTTTTGCTTATCTTTTGAGTAAGTAAATGTAAGGGAAATTATATGCCCATACTTTAAAACTTTAGTTCTACACGTTTTGTTTTTTCTGGCACTGGGGTTTGAACTCAGGTTCACACTTGCGAAGCAGGTACTCTGCCACTTGAGCTACTTTACCAGCCCAGGCCTACACATCCTTATTTCAAGTCTATCATACTCAGTCTTGCAAGCATTTCCTTTTACCAGTTCATGTTTTGTATTCTGTTCCTCTTAAATGTAAGTTTAATTTGCTATACATTTAGGAGAGTAACTACATTATGGTGAAAAAACAAAAACCACTGAATTTTAAACCAGAAAAGCTTTGTTTAGTGCAGGGCTTGCATTTGGGTTGTACTGTGTAACACAGAGCAATTTAGTTGACATTTCTGTAATTCCTACTTTTCCTTCTAAAATCAGTGGTGCTATGGTCTGAATGTTTGTGTCCCCCTAGAAACCATATGTTGACATCCTCACCTTGAAGGTAATGGTAGTAAGAGGTGGGCCTTTGGCAGTAATCAGGTCAAATGGGATTCCAATCCTCAGGAAAGAAGTTGCTCTACCTCACCACACAGCTAGAGGGCACAAAAATATTCCTTGATCAAGGAAGTAGACCTGCACCAGACAACAGCTCTGTTGGCATCTTAATCTTGGATCTAGTCTTCAGAACAGTGAGAAATAAAATTCTGTTGTGTGTAAGCCACCAGTTTATAGCAGTATGTTATAACACAGCCCAAACAGATTAAGACGGGGTGATAAATTCTACATTGTTTTTTTACTTTGCAGTGCTGGGATTTGAACTCAGGACCTACACCTTGAGCCACTCCACTAGCCCTTTTTTGTAATGGATTTTTTCGAGATAGGGTCTCACGAACTGTTTGCCTGGGCTGGCTTCGAACTGTGATCCTCTTGATCTCTGCCTCCTTAGTAGCTAGGATTACAGGTGTGAGCCACCAAAGCCCAGCTGATAAATTCTTCTTTACACTGAAAACTGAATGGAATGTGACATACTTTTAAAATTCATAAAGGTTTCAAACATTATGATCACTAAAAGGGCATTTTTTTCTTTTTAAAACTATTATTAGAGATTATAATTATGAATGGTTTTAGGAATACTTACAAAACTCCATTTTTTATCATTTGCTTTCATTCTATCATTTTCTTCTTTCGTAAATGCTAAAGCTACTTTATAATTATTTTGTGAAAAGGAATTTCCCATCTTGACAATTTTTCAAAAGTTTTTTCTCTATTATTTTACTCTTCTATTTAAAGAAAGCTTGGAAAGTTATTTAAGAACATACAGTTAACAGCGACTTACTTATATTTATCTTACAAAAATTAAAATTAAATTTGTTTCTTTGTGTTGCAGTTAGAAGAACTGAATTCCTCTATGTATCCTTTGCCTACTATCAGCAGTGAAAAGTTCCGAATTTTTAATTTCTGGTGAATAACTCCTATCTATTTACTGGGGCCATATCTCTTCCTTTTGGTTTCCAAATAGAATTTTCTCATTGTTTTGTTTGCTGGAATTTTGTTTGGTTTTGGTTTGTTCTGCCTTGCTTTGTATGAGTTTTGAATTTTTACTAAACAAATCTTATTATTTTTTAATAATTCAGTTCATGAGAATTGTGGATTAGGCTGGTTGCTATAGAAACTAATTTGAATCTTGGCTTCTGAAGCTAACTGGCAGTTGGATATCCATAAATGATATACTATGCTTAACTTAATATCATTACATAGAATATTATAAGTGCATAAAATTGAAAATTAGGTATCACTAATACAATCTTCAAGGGATGCTTATATACCTTGTAAAATGACATTTCTATAACTGTGCTAAGTGAATTACAGAATTAACTTAAAGGAAAACAGCTAGTCATAGGTAGACTATTCAGGTTTTGATATTTCAATCTGGAAAAATTGTTTCAGGAATAAATTTATTTTACAGCATAATGGTAAGCACAGCTGTTAGGTACATAACAGCAATAAGAAATTATTTTGCCTGTAAAGTAGTTTGATTTGAGAAGTAAAACATCCCCTGAACCAAATAATTAGAGAAAAGATTCTAGTTACAGAGTTGAGATTTGATTTTTGAAATTTGTTCCACATTTTGATAATGTAACATTGGGCAAATTGTTTAACATCTTAGGGGGTCCTCTGTCATATGGGTGATTGGTACATGTAATGATATGTATGTGGAATTTTTCAAACCATAGAGGATATATAAAATTAATATTATTGCTATAGTGTTAAATACTGTCATAACAAGTAATAACAGGAAATAAGGAACTATATACAAATCAATAACTAGCCTTTATGAATACTTATTCTTTGCCAAGTGTTGTATGAAGGGTTCCACACGCATTTGTTCATTTGGTCCTACCATTAGAAGTAGGTCATTTTATGCTTCCCATTTTGCAGATGAGACACCACAGAAACTGTGGAGAGAGATTAATGTAAGATATTACTGTCAAGAAAGACTTGAAGGGGTAAGCTTTGGGTTAAGGGATTTTTGTTAAAAGTAGTTCCTGGTTCTTATGTCTGACACGTAGGTATTTCCTACTTTCTTCCTGAGAGTTTTTGTTTGTTTTGGTTTTTGAGACAGAGCTCTGTCTCTGCATAGGCCAGGCTGGCCTGGATCTCACGATCCTCCTGCCCCAGCCTCTCCAGTGCGGGAATTCTGCATTACCTGAGTGTTTGGTGAGCATTTAGACTTGTTTCAGCACTTGATCCAGTGGCATTTATGCTCCACAGACAAGGCCAGATTGGCTAGTACAAGAGTGCAAGCTTTGGATTGCTTGCCTTCACATTGTGGCAAGCCACTGTGTGACCCTGAGAAAACTCTGACAACTCTATTTTCTTCATCAGGAGTAAATGTTCTCTCTGCACTTAATCTTTTTCTCTTTTTTAGTATTGTACAAAGATCTACACTTAATCTTTCCCCTCCTGATTGCCCTGACATCACTGCCTCTGTTATTTCAGTCTCTAAGAATATTTTAAAATCCCTCTCTAGCCATGTCGGACATTGCAGTCAGTGATGGCACTTCTGCTCTGAGCTTAGACACTGACTTGAAGTCTTTTGCCATCTCTTAATGATTTAGTTGTCAAGAATGGTCAGTTCTGCTCTTATTCTTCCTTCATTCTCTGTGAGACAATCCAGGCCCTCATCACCTGATTTCATAACTTTTCAATTTTATGTTCCAATTTGACCTTTACTGTTCAGTATGCACTACTAGTCCTATGGCCATTGAGCACATGAAGTGTGGCTAATCTCAGTTAAAGTGTGCTATGAGTATAATAGGCACACTTGATTTCAAAGCCTTAGAATGAAAAAAATCTCAGTTATTATAATGATTATAATATTTATAATCATTTAAGGTAGGAGCTGATAAAAATCAAATAGTAAAAGGTTTTAGATGTTGATTTTGGCAGTACTGGGGTTGAACTCAGGGCCTCACTCTTGGTAGGCAGGTGCTCTACCATGTGAGCCACTCCACCAGCCGTTCTTTGTGATGAGCTTTTTCAAAATAGGTTCTCCTGAACTATTTGCCCAGGCTGGCTTTGAACTGCAATTCTCCTGATCTCTGCCTCCCAAGAAGCTAGGTGTACAAGCATGAACCCCTGGTGCCTGTCTTGATTTTTATTTATCAGCATAAGTAATACATACTAAAATTACCTTAACCTGTTTTTCCTTTTCAAAATTTTAAGTTATTTACTTATTTTTGTGGTACTGGGGATGGAACCACGGCCTTGAACATGCTAGGAAAGTGCTCTACCACTGAGCTACACACCCAGCTCCTCTTTTTCCTTTTAATGTGGCTACTGGAAGTTCAATAATTGTCTATTACATTGGATAGCATTGCTCTAAATTTGAGACATTGTTAATAAATTAATCTTCCTAAAACATTAGCCTCTTCTTGCCATTTTGTATTTCTTGCTAATTTTTTAAACTCTGTCAAACCTTATAAACTGCTCTCAATAATTCCGTGACAACCTGTATATTGTGTTATATTTTTTATTCCAATTAAGGTGGGGTTTTTTGGTGGTAGTGGAGTTTGAACTCAGGGCCTTGTGCTTGGTAGGCAGGCAGTTTACCACATGAGCCATGCCACCAGCCCTCAAGTAAGCCTTTTATTCATTCATTTATTTATTTGTTTAGTGATATTGGTGTTTGAACTCGGGGCCTTTACCTTGAGCCACTCCACCAGGCTTTTTTTGTGAAGGTTTTTTCCAGATAGGGTCTTTTGAACTCTTTGCCTGGGCTCCTGATCTCTGACTCCTGAGTAGATAGGCTTGCCACTTGTTGACGCCTGACAAGTCTTTTTTAGTATTTGACTCTTATCAGCTCCTATCTTAAAAATGATTCTTGTTGCATTAAAAATAAGTGTGGCTGGGCATGGTGGTGCATAACTTCTTTGGAGAAGCTGAGGCAGAGGCTGACAACTTTGAGGCCAGCCTGGACTCAGCGCTGTCATAAATAAATAAATAAATAAATAAATAAATAAATTCTGTACTCTATTGGAACCAGAATAGTCTTAAATTGGTAATTTTTTTAAGAAACAGTCTTTAAATTCTAGACATGGTATAATTCCACACATTAAAAAAATTGTCTTACCACATCCAGGGGTCTCAGCAGTGTCACAGCAGCTTTCGTTTTAAGCATATTCCCTTCCTGCCCTGCCCACCTCTGCCTCTTAGTTCCTGAGTGTAATTTCCTGAAATTTAACAGAAGTGCTCATTATGGAATGAAAATCTCCTTAACTGATGAATTCAGACAGAAACTTCACTTGGCAGACACACAAGATGTTCCAAACACTTCTACCAGCTAGAGTGAGATGCACTCCACTCTCCTGGGACCTGCAGCGATGCGGCATTCTTACTTTTCCCGATGAACCCAGTAGCAGAATCAGTCATCTTCCACAACAGGATTAAAGTAACTAATGTGCAAGTGCAATGACCGTTCCCATCACTGCTTTTAGTAAATTTGCTCGCTGTAATTCATGGTAGGTGGAGGTCAGGGCCTGGTCGAAGACTGACTGAGCCAGGACGCGCGATGATTCGTGCTGCTCTGCTTTGTACTGTTGCCTTATGGGGTTATACTTGAAATCCTTCGTGCTAATGTTCTTGCTGGGGCTGGAGGAGTGATCCTTCCTGAGTGCAGCAGCTTGTTCCCGTGAGGGCCCTAAGCTGACGGTGCACAGGTCTTCCAGGCCAGCCCAGCTTCAGTTTACCTTAGACAATCAGTACACACGCACGTGTGTTTTCCAATGGCCAGTGACAACGAAATGTTAAATAAGTATTGTGAGCTATTTTTAATAAAGTGATTGTTTTAAATGAGTCTCTGTCGTCTTTTTGGAAGACCATGGAATTTTCAATCTGAGAATATAATGGTTCCGTCCTCAAAAGTAAACGGTGTTTATAAAACTTGAGGCGTTGTAACTTCCTTGCAAAGTCCGTGCCTTTTGCACATTTAAATACTCTGTAATGAAAGAGCATGGACTTTATAGCTACCTAGACTTTGACCTGGATCACCATGCTGCCCTTTGCATCCATGTGCATTCACTCAGGTTGAGTGGAATTGCTGTTGAAGAAAGTCTAGAAAACAAGGCCAGTAATCAACTGGTAGTGGTAGCTGGAGGAGTGACCCAGGAAGGGCTGAACCACACTTAGCACAATAGTGGACACGAGTCAAGCTCGACACACATTGGCTTGGTTTCCTTTTCCACCTTCTCTCCCTCCTTTCCTCCCTTCTTTTTTCCCTTTCCTTTCCTTTCCTCCCTCCTTCCTTTCTTCCTCTTTTTTTTCAGCGCTAGGGATCAAATCCAGTTCCTTATGTGTGCTAGGCAAATGCTCTACCACTGAGCTCTACCCCCAGCGTTACCTTTCCAAAAACAGTTGAACATACGAAGTAATTCATATCATAAAAATTATCTTTTAAAATGTGCATATATGTATGTATATGTAATATTTAATTTAATGTTTTTTGGTACTAGGGATTGACCCCAGGGCCTGATACTCTACCACTTGAGCTACTCCTCCAAACCTTTTGTTCTGTTTTTTTTTTTGACATAGAGTCTTTCCTAGACTAGCCTCAAACCCAAAATTCTCCTACCTCTGCCTCCTAGTATCTGGGTTCAGTGGATGTTAGTACATTTATAAGAGTTGTGAACCCATGATTGATTGATTGATTGATTGATTGATTGACTTTTGCAGTGCTGGGGATTGAACACATGGAGGACCTTGCATGGGTTAGGCAAGCATCTTACCATTGAGCTGTCCCCTGATGTAGTTCTAGAACATTTATTCATGTTACTGAATGTATCATTCATTTCTTACACATTCCACTATATAGGCATGCCACATTTTGTCTATTTGTAGTTCAGTCACCTGTACCCTATAGAAGACATTCATGCTCATGCTTCCTTGTTTCCAGGTCACAATAATGAGCACCTAATTGGGACTGGGGAGAATGGGGGCCCATGAAATTTTTTTTCTGTCTGGTAGTGCTGGAGATTGAACTAAGGCCTCACACATGCTAGGCAAGCACACTGCCACTGAGCTACATCCCCAGTCCCCCTTGAATGCCTGGCCTCGAACTGGAGATCTCCAGTCTTAGCCTCCCAAGCACTAGGATTACGGCCATGAGCTACCACTCCCAGCTTTTGAATGATTTTAAAATCCCAATTTTGGTAATTTTTGGCATTCTGAATTTAAAGCTTTTTGATCAGTTTATCTATTGTATTTTGTTTTGTTTCAGTTTTCATTTGTTTATTCAATGCTGGGAATCGAGCCCAGGGCCTTACTTATTTGAGACAAGTACCCTGCCACTGAGGCACACTCCAAGTCCCTACTTTTTCCTTTTTAATTTGAAAGTCACCAGAGCATTTTATTTGTTTCAAGCATTTGAAACTTTTCATTTGATTAAGAGGATAGGGGCCTAAGGGAGAATTATACTCTAGAGTTTGACAGGATAAAAGGTCACCAGGTGCCAGTGGTTCATGCCTGTAATCCTAGCTACTTGGGAGGCTGAGATCTGGAGGATATTGGATTGAATCCAGCCTTTGAGACCTCATTTCCAAAAATAACCAGACCAAAATGCACTGGAGGTGTGGCTCATGTGGTAGAACACCTGCTTTGCATGTACAAAGCTCTTAATTCAAACCTCAATCCCACCAGAAAAAAAGGAAGCTTTGTCACATGACATGGTTTTCTTGTGGTGGTCCTGTGGAGTGGTGTTAGGACACCAGTTGATCTTTTTATCAGGTAACTAAATTTTAGCCTAATTGTATCCTTTCACACTCCTTAAGCATGTTAAAGGGAACAACAAAAAATGAGGTGTGTCTGGATTAAAATAAGATTTTATTAGAAATAAATGTTTCTTCACATAGATGCTGCATATTCATTGTTAAAAATTCTGATTACAGGTGACCTTCAAAAACCTACTAACTGCTTATTTGTGTACCAACTTCCATACTTAGTAAACATGTTTGTTTTTTGGAAAATAGATCACACTAATCATATGATTTGCGAATCTGCTTTTTGTACCCAGTGTATCGGATCATCCTTCTGTTGAGATCACTATTATATACTAAAGAAGAAGAAAAGTTTTCACAACACATAGGTAAGGGCATTTGGAGCAGAACTATTAGAAATCAGGAAGGTTTGTTTTTGTCTCTCCCGCGTCACGCTAAAACTGACGATAGCACTATTAAAATTTACAAAGTAAATTAAAGTTTGCAAAGCATGCAGAAGATGAGCAGTCACAAACTCCACCTTGCCCACCCGAGGGCCTCACAATCGCTGCTCATTGTGAGGCCCTGCAGTAGAAGGGATCCTGGCATCCTGGCGCCTTGCAGAGCTGCCGGGACTCCCACGGCAGCCGCCTCCCCTCGCAAGCTCCGCAGGATGGGGGGCGTGGGGGGCGTGGGGGGGCGGGGACTCGAGCCCAGCTGGACTCGCAGGGATCGGGGGCGGTGCCGCCTGAAGGTCAAGGTCGGCAGCGCAGCGCAGCTCTGGGCGGGGCCGCTGGCCTAGTGGGGCGGGTGGGTGTTGTCGTCCCCATGGAGATGGGGCTGTCTCTGCCGCACCTCGCTTTCGGGGCTGCGTGCTGCAGCTCGCCGTCGTCGCAAGAGGAGACAGCAGCCACGGGGCTGGGCCCGTGCGCCACTTCGCGGAGGTAAAGCCTATGGCTTCTGGCCGCATCCGTCTAGGGGCGTCCTGGTCTCCCCATGCAGCCCGGGCAGGACCCCAGCAGCACCGAGGCAGGGCTCAGGGCCTCCCTCCAAGGCCTCGGAGGGAGGCCCTTAGCCGGGGCTGAGCGGGCGGTGTCAACTGAAGTCTCCTCCAGAGCTCCTTTGGGCGGGTTCGTGAGCACTTTGGAAAGCACTGATTTCAGACTCCACGTGGGCTCACAGCACCTCCTCCCTCCCGCTGTCACCCCCTTTCCAAACATGGGAAGGGCTGTAAGGTTGAGTGAAGGGAACTACAACGAATCTACAGAGACTACTTTGTGGTTGTAACTGTAAGAGTTAATATGCTAACATTTAATGAGTAGGGCAAATAATTAACACAAAGGTACTGTTAAACAGTTATCTTTTTAAAAGTATTGATGTGCTCATTAATAAACATTGCCACAAGTATCAGAACAGTTTTCTGACATTGTATTAAAGTTCAGTGCAGCCCAGGCAAATGTGTGTTCAAGCCCACCACGGTCTGTTCTCAGGAACTTGACTTTCGTGCTCCTTAGAAACTTTAGAAATTGTGTCCTAACAACAATAATGTAGGAGGCAGGGAGGAGGAGGGTTTAGCGCAACCATAAGTTACTTTTCCTGAATGAATTCAAAGAGCAGTTGCTTCTGGTTTGCTACAGCCTTAAACTTACAAATCAGTGAGCACATTCAGCATTTGAAAATACGACACAAGCCCTGTGTTTTCTATTAACATTGGTGCTGTAATGCACAGATATCCTCAAATCATACCATCACTTCCTTTATCCATTATTTACTTTGGTCTTTGTGTGTGTGTGTGTGTGTGTGTGTGTGTGTGTGTGTGTGTGTGTTACTGGGGTTTGAGCTCAGGGCCTTCACCTTGAGCCACTCCACCAGCCCGATTTTTGTGAAGGGTTTTTCGAGATAGGGTCTCCGGAACTATTTGCCAGGGCTGGCTTTGAACCACAATCCTCCTGATCTTTGCCTCCTGAGTAGCTAGGTATATATATGTATGTATATACTGCTTTGTGTTCAAAGTAGATCATAGATCATGTTTTTACATGTCCTAAATGGAGGGCATTTAACTTGACTGGAGTTGTCTTTCATATTTTTTGGTTTTTCACTGATTACATTTAATTTTCTTATGCTACAATTCTTCTCTGCAATCTTTAGAACCAGCCAACCTCTTGAGAGGTGTATTTTTAAGGAAATAAAATTTAGATAATAAATATATCACTGTACAATTTGCATGTATGAATTACAGAAGTACTCAAATATAAGTATCTCTGTGTCAAGGAACAACATTTTGTTTTTAATTTTCTAAGTCACTTTGTGTACAGTAGTGAAGCCAGGCTAGCCTATTTGCATTTGTCCAGCTGTGTAACCAATCACACGTGGGACAACATGGCTTTTCTGCTTTATCCCAGCAATGATTTAGCTCTCTGTATGGGCTGACAATTGCCTAGCCATCTTATCCCTTAATATGGTTTTAGTTGTTCAAAGGGGAAAAAAAAGCCAAAACAGTTTTTTCTTTCAATCCTCACACACTTGCTCAACACTTTATCTCTGGTTACAAAAATGCGAGATTTTCCCTCATGAATAACCAATTCTCCAGTGGCCCCCAACTGGGGTGCTACTGTTTGACTCAAATCTGACATTATCTACCTGGAAATAGCATCAGATTCCACAGGTTGAAGGGTCAATCCCATAAGACAGCCCCCCACTTCAGGAACTGTGTAGTCAGTTTCTGTCATTGTAACAGACACCTGAGATAATCAAGTTGTGAAGAGAAAAGGTTTGCTTTGGCCCACAGTTCTGGAGGTTCCAGTCCGTGATCAGTTGGCCACGTTGCTTTGGACCTCTGACAAGAGAGCACATCATGGCAGGAGTGCACGTGGAGTTAATTTGCTCACCTATAGCCAGGAAGCAAACAAGAGTACAAAGAGGAGGACCTGGGGTTCTCCAGTCCTCTTCAAGGACATGCCCACAGTGACCTAAAGACCTCCCACTAGGTCCTCCCCCCCCATAAAAGTTTCTACCACCTTTACATCACCACCAGTGGACCTTTGGCCAAGTCCCCAGTGTATGGGGGAGGGGGTGCGGGGCAGTGGACCTTTGAGGGAACATTCAAGATCCAAACTATGTCAGATGTCAATCACAGGTTCAGTAGTTCTGACTGACCACCTATACCAGATCCCCATAACCCTTTTCTCAGGTTTGATTAATTTACTTGACTGGCTCATAGAAGTCAAGGAAATACTTTATGTACATTAACTCATTTATTATAAAGGATATTCCCAAGGACACAGATGAATAGCCAGATGGAAGAAATGCATGGGGAAAGGTATGTGGAAAGAGACACAGAGAGTCCATGCCACCTGCCAGGCACCTCCATGTGCTCGTCTATCCAAAGCTGCTCCTCCTCCCACACCCTTTGTCCTTTGGGTTTTTAATGGAAGATTTATTATATGTAGGCATGAGTGATTACATTATTGGCCATTAGTGATCAATTCAACTGCAGTCTCTCTTCCTTCTCTGGAGATGGGGGGCTGAGCTGAAAGTCCCAACCCTCTAATTGCATGACTGGCTCCCCCGGCAGCCAGCCTTCAGCATGAGGCTACTAGAAGCCAACCAAGAATCACCTCGGTAGAACAAAAGATGCTCCTGTTATCCAGAAAATTCCAAGAGATTTAAGAACAAACCTAAATAGGTCCAGATAATATTTTTGGCTTGGTGAGCCACATGACCTTTCTCCCCTTTACTCAATTTTGTTGCTTTGTATAAAAACAATCAGAATACATGTGTAAACAGGATTGACTGTGGTTCAATAATACTTTATTTACAAAGCAGTTTGTGGGCCAGATATGGTTTGTTAGCTGTGTTTATTGACCTACGTTCTGCCTAACGTGCTTGCTCACTTGAGGGAAAGTGAGGTACCATTTTGTGAGCTGAGCTACAGAGGGGAGGCTCCGGACACATCCAGCAAGGAACTAGGACCTTTGTTCCAGCAGTCTCACAGGAGCTAACTCCTGCCAACAACCACTTATACCAGCTTGGAAAGAAATTCTTCCCAGGCCCAGCTTTGGGGTGACTAGAGCCCCACTGACACCTGGACTATAAGAAACCCTGAGCTGGAGGTCCCTCTAAGCTGTGCCTACACTCCTGTCTCACAGAAACTGTCACATAATTAATGTGGTTATTTTTGTTACACAGCATAAACAATCACATTAGATAATATGCGTTATGATGGGCTCCATATAACAATGAATGGGGAAATGCTACATATTATTTCCTCCTCTTATAGATTCACTGTGAACATTAGCATATTAAAGATCCCAAAGGCTACAAAAAAGAAACATGTTTAATTTTGTTCAGTCAATCATTCCCCAGTCATATTTAACGTCAGGTTCAGTTTTCTAAGGAAATACCTATTGAGTATATGGAACTAGTCTTTGGAAGAATATAAAATGCTGGATTAAGAAATTCATGCATTAAGGGATTGCCAACCTGCTATTTCTCCCTGGGTTGAATAGCTAGCCAGCAAAATTGACATTTTAGATAGTGAAAATAATGGTGTGGAAACTTACACATGCACACACGCATGCACACACCATGCACACACCATGCACACACACCACATGAAATGTACTATGTTCACATAATTAAGCCTACCAGCAGAGACAGCAACTATTCTTTCTGTCTTGTTCAGCTCATTACATAACTTGCAATCCCTTAGCACAGAGGATAATAACAGTTTTGAGAACTTGTTAAATTAAAAAATCCCTGTGTTGGCTCTTGGAGGATTTCATGTAACAACAGCTGCGTGGCTTATAAAACTAAGGATTTGTTTTGATTTAATGTTGATTCAGAAGGAGGTATTTAATTTCCCACATTGCCATGAGGTTTTTAATCTGAACAGCACATTATTTTAATGCAGTTTGCCAAGACACATCACTGCCTTGTTTTATACATGAGGAAACTAAGGCTCACGTACAGAATTACTTGTAAAGCTTCAGTTTTGGGAAGTTAGAGCAAGAATTCAAATCTCTGCAACACCTCCACAATTGTTCTTACTATGGTACATATCTTTGTTCACTTTTAAAATGGGCTTTGATCTCGTTGAAGTGTGATAAGAGCAGAGGACTGCAAATGCTGGTTGTATTCTAGAATCTTCTGACTCCAATAGTTTCTCAGCTACTTTGGCCACATTGTACTCTTTGTCTTCTTGGAGCTTGTAGCAACAGAGGGTTGCTAGAAACATCTAAATTGCTTGAATCCCAGATAGAATATCACTGACAAGTGGTGGTCCAACTTGAATTTTACTGTCTCCAGTAATGGAGCTAATGAGACAACTAGAGTTGCTGAAGTAATTTTTTTTTTTTTAACTCACTTGGATAGAGCCAAATTCCTCCTTTCTGATGTCATCCATTGTTCTTAGTTATATCTTTTGGGGATTCACAAACCATGTGTGATTGATTTTGTATATATTAAAAGCCTTTTGATAGCTGATGTGTGTCTGTATGGGATGAGAAAGGGGTCCAATTTCTTTTTTAAACAGGCTATTTGTTTTTTCTAAATGGAAAAAATATGCCTCTTCCCCTTCAATTTGTCCTCTAGCAAGAGTCCACATATACCTGGATCTATTCGAAGCTTCTTTTTCTGTTCCCCTGATATAGGTGTCTGCCCTGAACTAATGCTATCATCTCAGTCTTATGGCTTTATAGTCGTTACCCAGAAACATGTCTCCCTGTCTTGTTCTTCCAGATTGTCCTGTTTTTGGCCCTTTAGAATTCCATAAATATTTTTAGAATCAGCTTTTTAAGTTACACACATACACATGCCATAATATCTCATGAGTTTTTTTTTAACTGAGGTTGCATTGAATCTGTAAATCAATTTGAAAGAATTAAATCTCTTTTCTGAGTCCTTTAATGCATGAATAAAACCTATCTCTCCACTTTCTAGGTCA